AGAGAGAGAGAGAGAGAGAGAGAGAGAGAGAGAGAGAGAGAGAGAGAGAGAGAGAGAGAGAGAGACCTTGATTTCGAAACAGATGGCCACTTATGTGACCGAAGTTGCTTGTATAAGAGCTCTCTGGCTGATATCATTTCATTTCGTCATTATCGCCTAGTGAAAACAACTGTTATACAAAACAAAATAAATCAAACCCAAATTATGTTACGTTTGAACATATATATGATTTGGTATTATCTCCCTACCAATAGTTGTTTTATATCCACTTTGTAAGAAAGATATTTATTTAGACAAAAGGATCCACATAAAGCATAAATCGATGAAAAGTAATATTTGTAAATTGTAAGAGCGCAAGATTTTAGCATGAAACGTTGGAATCGATCATGAAGAATACTTGAATTCTAAAGTTGATGTTTTTGAGTAATTCAAAATATTTTAAAATTTGAAAATCAAGTGATAAATTACTTAAACCAACAATATATGAATCTTTATATATTCTAAGCAAATGCAAGGAGCACTAATGCCTTGGATATATAGGAGGAGCTAATTACCACTTTGCCTTTTTGAAGGAGGATTCCTTCGGAAAGCATGTCGTGAAGGTCCTTTTTCTTTTTACTCAAGTATTTCTTAGATTCTTTTGACATCTTGAATATTTCTTCATAGTCATGAGGCAATTTGGGTGTCCATATTGCATAATCATCCTGTATATTAGTTAACATTAAAAGAAAATCATGTTTTTAATTTTGTGAACTCATCTTCATTTAGATATAGCTAGTATTTATAATTTTCAGAAATAAAATTTTATAAAACCCTCAAACTAAAATGGTTTTCAAATGATTATCCGCTTATTTTTTTTAAAAGGATATTTTCTTTTTCTTATTCAAGAAAAACTACATTTTAAGATGTTAAGATCAGTGTACTAGCTGTTCATTTAGTTATGTTTTGATACCTTTTTTATAATTTGAATATGAAAACTTACCTGTAATTTCAATGCTTCCTCAAGTCGTAGGAGCACGTCACCTGTAGTAGGTCGGTTTTGTCGTAGATCATCGACACATTCATTGGCCAGTTTTTGAAATGCCGTCGATGATTCTGGCGCAATTTGTTCCTTTATACCTTTAAACACCATATCATCAAGTTTTCCTTTACTGTAATATCGTTTAAACGTATCTATTAGAATTTTAACACTGCCATTGATGTCTTCGAACATCAATCTCCCACACAAGATCTCAAATAAAAGCACTCCGAATGAGTATATATCGGATTCTTTTGTATAGACGCGGTTTTTAAGGTATAGTGGGTCACAATAGCCTTTTGTGCCACAAGCATTGTCGATGACATCCTCATTTATTGATGTTATTGAGGAAAGCCCAAAATCAGAAATTTTTGCTTTCCACTCCTCACCTAATAGAATGTTTGGACTCTTGATATCCCTATGCAACACCACCTCTTGTGTTACACCACCCCCATGAAGAAAATCCAAACCACGTGCAATATCAATGCATACCTCAAGTCGGTCCCTCCATGTAAGATCCTTGTTGCCCAAATGCCGTTCGAGACTTCCTTTTGACGCATACTCGTAAACAATGATTTTTTCACCAGGTTGATTGCAATAGCCTACAAGACCGATCACATTCTTATTTTTATACTCTAAAAGAATTTCAAGTTCTGTCAAAAATTCAGTTTCTCCTTGATCACTAGTTGTATCTAATCTCTTTGCAGCTATAGTGGTGTGACGTCCATCAACGCTTGTAACTTCTCCTCTGTAAACCCTCCCGAATCCTCCTCTTCCAATGTGATTGTTATTACTGAAGTCATTTGTGGCCAATTTAATGTCTTCAAGTGAAATTTGGAGGTTATCCTTGTGGTTTTTCTGTAAATCATGAGACACTCCAATCAATATGAAAACTCAAAGACAAACAAACTGAAAGTAGTTCTTATCTAAAACTGATTTGATTTGTTATCTTAAATTTTAGGTTCTCAACTTTGTGTCTATTGATCAAGAGCTCAATGACAAATGAATGCCGAAGTTAAAACTTTTTTTTTTCTAAAACATCAACTTACGGGTGGACAATGTATGAAGGATCGAGTATATATGAAGAGAAATTTGACTTACTTGAAGTTGTAATGCATTCTTGATTTTCTCGACAACAATTCCAATATTTGGACGTTGTGCTTGAGATTCTGCCAAACATTGATATGCAAGATCTAGAAATGTCTCCAAAGAATCTTGATTAGGCCCTTTACTTAAAGTAAAAATGTTTTCATCAAATTCTTCCTTTATTTTAGGATCTAGCATATCCTTTTGTGTTCCATTTTGAAAGTGTTGTCGGACGAAGGGTGCAATCCCCTTGTCATTTTTCTTGGTGTAAGCTTCATAATAGGCCAAACTCCCGGACAAGATCTCAAAGAAAACTACCCCCAATGAATAGATATCTGATGCTTTTTTCAGCTTACGTGTCTGCTCATATTCTGGATCCAAGTACACATTTGTACCTGCAACATTTGTCTCGAGATAACTGGCCTGTTGAGACAAGGGACTGATTTTGGAGAGCCCAAAGTCAGCAATCTTTGCCACCAGATTGTCGTCCAACAGAATGTTGTCACTCTTTATGTCCCGGTGTATTATGCTATGTTCGGTGTGAAGGTAATTTAGTCCCTGTGCAATATCAAGACACATTTGTAGACGCTGCTCCCATTTAAGACTATTCATTTTATCATAACTTCGTAAATGGTCATCAAGGCTTCCATTAGAAATATACTCATAGACAAGGATCAAGTCAGACCCTTCATCACAAAAGCCAAGAAGAGAGACTATGTTTGGATGCTTACAGCTCGTAAGTGTTTCAATCTCTGCAGAGAACCCTTCTTCTGCTTGTGTGTCGTTTCTTTGGAAGAGGCATTTTATAGCTACGGTGCTTCGTATCTTAGGCAGATCACATGCATTCTTCGCTTCTATCTGCAAGAAATTTTTGCTATCAAAGTGCTCAAGTTCTGCTTTGTACACCTTACCGTATCCACCTTTCCCAATGCATTGTGTCTGAGAAAAATTGTGGGTGGCCACCTCTATATCATGAGAACTTATCTTCAAGTGTTCCAATTTTTTCCACTACAAGACAACATTGTGTGTTAATAATGGACATGAAAGTGGTGTTGCAATATAGACACTACATACTTATAACATAAGCTGGAAATATTTTGGATTAGTGGCAATATGGAGATACTAGATAATGTCACTAACAGATTCATCAAAGGTTAATCTTTAAGAAAATATCTTATATGTATCGTTTATCAAGTTCTCACAAAGGAGCTCTAAAAAAATCAAGAACAGATGCATAAGATCAAAAGTTTCGGCTCGGTCTTTCCGGACATGTTTCAGGCATTATAAGCAACAAGCAACTATGAGTTGATCAAACATCTTAATAGAAATTATATTCGTCAATCCTATGTATTAAATACCAACATACGTGTCATTATTGTTTCTTGACGATATTTGAGGCATAACCCCTAAGTTTTTTTTTTTTAAAATACCAAACAATCCGGTTTATTCGGTTCTTTCGGTTTCTGGTTCATTTTGGTCCGTACTTTTTATTCGGTTATTAACTTATTAACCGAACCATACTGATTATTACCCGAACCGAACCGGACCCGTATTGGTTTAAATGGTTCCATTTTCGGTTCCTACTATTAGTCTTATTCAGTTTTTGGTTTATTCGGACCGGTTTCGAACCGAATAACATCCCTACTACCAACTAGCTAGTATGTATGAAAGTGAAATTGAGCATTATGCAATTATATTTGTATGTGGAACAGAGAGCATCATACATAGTGTCGCCGGGTGAGGTTATTTTTCTTTTAATCTTGATTTCTTTTCAAAAAGTTCCAACTTTTAGTTTAGTTAAATATTTGATTCTCTTGATTTTAATGACTCTAAACAAAAATATATCCATACAAAATTTTCCTATAGACTCCATTTCTAGGCCACCAACACTAGTGAAATATCCACTCTGTTTCAATTTTGTCAAGTCATTTTTGCAATTAATCTTTGCATCAATACAATTTCAATAATTTTTCAAAAAATGCTTCCTACTAATATATCGATAGCTAAAAAAAATCCAGCTAGACTCGACATCATTTGCTTGCAAATTTCATATTTGAGGTGAACTATTTGGAATTTCCTTGCGTTGAGGTTAATTTATTAATCATATATTTTAAACGTCATTTATGTAATGATCTCTAGCACATAGACCATTTTTTGTATATTTTGTATTACACCTAGTATATTTCTATAATTTCTCTTACATAGAGAATATTTATGTAATGTTGGTTATTACATATAGATGATTTTGTAATATCGTTAATTCATAGGGACCATTTTGTACTATAAAGATCAAAATTGTAATAATACAAATTACAAACTAGAGGGACCAAAAATGTAATTATTCAGCTACAAACTATAGGACCAAAAATACAATTGATCAAAATTGTAAATATATTAAACTAAAAAAAAAAAAAAAACAAACAAACTATTGGAAATAAATTGCAAATTTATAAACTATATAGACCAAAACTCCACTTATTGAAATTAAAAGTTATGCTATAAACCAAAAATATAATTAATACAAGTTAAAACTATAAATATTTTATATTAAAATGGACCAAAATTATAATTAATATAAACTAAAAAAATATAGGAACGAAAATTGTAATTAACTTCATACATTTGTGATTAACTTCATACATTTAAAAAGTATATATAATGTAAAAAAAAAAACAAAACAAAACCTTATGTATCTTTGAAACGTTCAAGTAAAAATAAGATAGTTTAATACAAGAGAAAATGTTTTGTAGTGATAATGAAATCAGGAACGGACGCAGGAATACATACTAGGTGTTGTTGAGGTTGAAGTAAGTGTTGGTGATGTATAAAAATAGGTAAAAAAATCGAAATTTTTTTCACTGCGTAGAGAAAAAGTAGGTGTTGTCGGTGCCACACCGGGACACCTACTAAAACCGCCCCTAAATGCAATGCTTTTTCAGGTTAAAAAAATCATCAGTACCTCACATCATAAGTAGTAGTTTAATACAAGAGAAAATGCTTTGTAGTGATAATGCAATTAGGGGCGGACGCAGGAATACATACTAGGTGTTGTCGAGGTTGAAGTAGGTGTTGCCGATGCATGAAAAATAGGTAAAAAAATCGAAATTTTTTCCATTGCGTAGAGAAAAAGTAGGTGTTGCTTGTGCCACCCTACTAAAACTACCCCTGAATACAATGCTTTTTCGGCTTAATTACCGTGCCCAAGCGTAACATATTTAAATCAAATTTTTCTGAGTATTTTTATTTGAATGGATTTTTTTGTTGTTGTGCAAAATGATGAGAAACAAATCTACGGTTTCCTCTCTCGATTTATTCATCAATTTTTGGAAATTTTTTAAAAACAAATTTAAGTTCTTACTTCTAAATTTTTTATTTGTGTAACACCCTGACCCTCAGGTATTAATTTTGCAGTTTTATTTTCATATTGAAAGATCTACTCGACGAGTTGGATGCCCTGAATCGTCAAGTAGGAACGTTTTTGGCCCCGTGTTTAAGTGACCAACTCGCCGAGTCGGAGGCGTGACTCGACGAGTTAGAGCTGGAGGATGAAACCTTAATTTTCGGGGTTTTGCACCCTATTTAAAGGGTCATTAGCCCCCTTAGCCTCCCTTACAGCCCCCTTTGAGTCCAGAAACCCTAAAACGCGTTTTCTCTCCATGTTTGTGTGTTTTTAAGCTTGGAAGGTGGATTTTGGTGAAAGGAGCATGAAGATCAAGAAGCTTGAGGCAAGGAACAGTTTTGGATCTGAGTTCTACTCAAGTTTAGCATCACTTGAAGGTAACAAGTCGTTACCTTGACTTTCCTCCTTCTAGATCTCATCATGTTAAGATTAGGGCTTTTCTAGCATGTATGATAGCCATTTTCGGGTATGGGCTAGGGTTTGAAGTTGTAACTTCAGATCTGAACTTATCTTGGTCTCTATAACTATAAAGTTTCCAGCTTTAGCAAGTATGAGCTATTCCTTTTGAGTTAAACCCCATTTTAAGCTTGGATTTGGTATTCTAAGCCTTTAGAGCCTTGTATGCACGTAAAGTTTGCAACTTTACGTGATAAGCATGCCTTAGGAAGCTAGATCTACCATTTGGAGCCTTGGAATGGCTCAAATTCATATGGACAATAAATGGACTGTGTGAACTCGACGAGTAGGATAAGGAACTCGACGAGTTGGGAAGGGGTTTTCGTGTGGTTTGGTTTCTGTATGGACTCAGCAAGTCAGCAGAGGATTCGACGAGTCGGTTAGGGTTTCCCCGACTTCTTGACACGCATAGACTCGACGAGTTGGTCGGAAACTCGGCGAGTCGGTGAGGGTTTTATGACCTTCTGAACTCTTAAGGAACTCGACGATTTGAATCAACATGGACTGTTGACTTTGTCCGTTGACTTTGACTTGGACCAAGGACTGACTGGTTGACTTCTGGGTATTTTGATAGATTAGAAATTTATGGAAATGGTCTTATGGTAAATATAGGTGGTGGAGTTTATGGTCGTGGTTCGAGAGTTTGAGATTATCACTTCGATTCGACGGTTGAGAGGTGAGTTATCCTCATTATACTAAGGGGTCTAAGGCACCAAGGTCGGCCCATTGGATTTGATATCCTAGTAGTTGATGATGTGTTGAGTATGAGATAGTTATACATGCTAGTTTTCTATGCTAGTTAGGTAGATCTGTAGGAATACATGTGGTACCGTTTGATTATTTGTATGTGCAATTAGTTGTATATGTAGACATGTTGTGTGGGTAGGGTTGAGGTTGCACTGTCTCGTGTAGTGACCAACAAACCCTAGAGTATGCCAGATATGAGCTGAGGGCCGGGAAGACATGCCAGACTCATACTGAGGACTCATTAGCATACCAGATACGAGCTGAGGACCAAGTGGTATACCAGACTCGTACTGAGAGCAAGTCAGTTATGTTCAGTTTTAGGACTGAAAATGGGGCAATCCAATCATAAGTTGTGGGCTCGAAAGCAAACCAGACTTATGTTGTGGGCTCGGAGACAAGCCATATGTGAGTTGTGGCTCGGAAGGCAAGTCAGACTCACACTGTGGGCCCAGGGATAATCCAATCTGTAGAGTTGTGGACCCGTTACATGTTGTTATTATGTGTACTGTTTGTTATGTATCGGTATTTTGGGGGAACTCGCTAAGCTTCGGGCTTACAATTTCAGTTTTGGTTTCAGGTACCTCAGATGATCGCG